TCCCCAACCCATTCCCAGTCCAATCCCATTCCCATCCCCTCCTCTCGTTGTCCTCATTCCCACACTTACCTCGGTCCCTTTCCCTATCCCCTTCCCCATCTCATGCCCATCTCCGTGCCTGTCCCTATCTCCAAGCCCAGCTCCCTCTCCATCCCCATCCATCCCTTTCCATCGCCCTCTCCCACTCCAGCTCTGTCCCCACTTCCCTCCGCCTCCCTCCTTGTTCCCCCTCTGCCTCCCGTCTTGCTGCCTCTTTCCGCCTCCGTCCCCATGCCGGTGCCGACCGTGTCCCTTTCCTGAGCGCTGTCCCAGCGGGTGTCTGCGTGGGGGACCCGGTGCTGCGCACGGGGAAGCCGCTCTCGGTGGAGCTGGGTCCCGGCATCATGGGCTCCATCTTCGACGGCATCCAGCGCCCCTTGAAGGACATCACGGAGCTCACCAAGACCATCTACATCCCGCGCGGCATCAACATCCCCGCGCTGGCCCGCGGCGTCTCCTGGGACTTTGCGCCCAGCAAACACGTCCGGGTGAGCGGCGAGGACGTCRCCGCACGCGGGCTCCTTGGGGACAGGATTTGGGGGCTCTCCTCCCGCCAGCAGCTCCTGGCGGCTGCTCCGGAGGGGACACAGCCGGGGACAGCTCTGGCATCGGGTCACGTCCCATCCGGACCTCACAGTGCTCCCGTGCCAGGTCGGCAGCCACGTCACCGGCGGGGACATCTACGGCGTCGTGACCGAGAACTCGCTCATCCAGCACAAGATCATGGTGCCGCCGCGGAGCCGCGGCACCGTCACGCACATCGCGCCGCCGGGCAACTACGACATCTCGGTAGGGGCTCTCGGCGCCGCGGGGGCCCTCGGGGACGCCGGGGAGCTCCCCTCCACGGCCCTGTGCCGCCCCCYGGCAGGACGTGGTGCTGGAGCTGGACTTCGAGGGCACCACGGAGAAGTTGACCATGATGCAGGTGTGGCCCGTGAGACAGACCCGGCCCGTGGCCGAGAAGCTCCCGGCCAACTACCCRCTGCTCACAGGCCAGAGGGTCCTGGACGCCCTTTTCCCGTAGGTCCGGGGCTGCGGACAGGGCACGGAGGCCGGGGACAAGGATGGGGAATGGGGACGGACCTGGGGATTGGGATGGGGAYCAGCAGAGGGGACAGTGTTGGGCACGGCATGGGGGACAGGAATGGGGATGAGGAAGAGGATGGGGATGGTCCTACTGGGAAGGGGAGGACATCCAGGGGCTTGGAGTGACGTGGGGGGTCACTGTGGCCTCCCCTGCTCCCAAAATGGATCCAGGGAAGGGACGAGATGGGAACAGGGATGGGGCCAGGGGGTGTCCAGACATGTCCCGGGTTCCTCTCCTTCCCCACGCCGTTAGCGGGACCTGGCTGCCTCTGCAGACTGTCCCCATTGTGTCCCCGTGTCCAGGTGTGTCCAAGGTGGCACCACGGCCATCCCAGGGGCCTTCGGCTGCGGCAAGACGGTCATCTCGCAGTCGCTGTCCAAGTACTCCAACAGCGACGTGATCGTGTACGTGGGCTGCGGCGAGCGGGGCAACGAGATGTCCGAGGTGCTGCGGGACTTCCCGGAGGTGGGTGCTGGTGCCGCCGCGGGCGCGGGCGCTGCGCCGGGCACGGCCACCGCGGTGACGCCGCTGCCGGCCCCAAGCTCACCATGGAGGTGGACGGGAGGACGGAGACCATCATGAAGCGCACGACGCTCGTGGCCAACACGTCCAACATGCCCGTGGCTGCGCGCGAGGCCTCCATCTACACGGGTGAGCTGGGCGCACTTGTGCGCGCTTGCACGCGCAGGCAGCCGCCGGAGCCCTTCGCACGAGCACACGCGTGTGCGCAGCTGCCGGAGCTCCTGCGTGTGCATGCGTGTGAGCGTGCACGCGTGCACTTCTGCCACCCGTCTGGCATTTGCACGCACATGTAGGTTTGGGGTGTGCATGGGAAAGTGAGCTCCGTGTGCATGTGTGCTTGTGTGCACACCCGTGTGCAYGCTTATGTGCACGCTTGTGCACATACTATGTACACTCTTGTACACACTATGTTTGGGGTGTGCATGGGAAAGTGAGCCATTGTGTGCATGTGTGCATGCTTGTGTGCACGCTTATGTGCACGCTTGCATGCATAGCCGTGTGCACACTGTGTGCGTGCCTGCGTGCATGCCTGTGTGCACCCACGTGCATGCTTGTGGTGCGCCT